TAGTTTCTAGTTGCCCAATTATAATTTTCAAGGAATTAGTTTTTTCAGTCAGCTTTTGTACCTCTTCTTCCTTTGGCCAATTTTACTTTTTTAAGAAGTTCTTTTCTTCAGTGAATTTTTGTGCCTTTTTTTAATAGGCCAATTCTGCTTTTTAAGGTGTTATTTGTGGTGGGTGAAGGATAAAATAAGTAAGGAAACAAAGGATTGAGCCTTCTGAGCATATCTGTTTATTAAGCAATGTGTGCCAATTTCGCAACAAATTGGGACCAGGCCTCTTCAGCTTTAGCACTGGACCCCAAATACAGGGGGAGAAAGATTATTATGCATTAAAAACAATCAAATAAGACCAGTTAGTCAAAAGAAATAATTAATAGGGTACAAACCAGGATACAAAATTAGGTGATTTGATTTCTAATTGGAGGAAAGAGTAGGGACTTTCCAAGTTGAGAGAGGGAGTGTGAATAGGTACAATTCCCTGAAATCAGAAAAAAAAAGGTATCCCACTCCCTCCAAGTAACTGTATTCAATAAAAGGAACATGGAAACAATAACTGGTACAAGTACAAGTACAAGGCCAGTTTTCTGATAAGACATATGGGTTGCTTGAGATACGTAATTCTGAGAAAACTCTTTGTATCAGTCTTTAAATCTCACTGGGCTTCTGGTCAGCATAACCCAAGTCCTTAGTTAAGGGTCTCTAAGCAGCAGGTAGAGGTAGTCCAGCTTCCCAGCCCACCCAGGGCTAGGTTCAAACAACGCAATCAAGTTTTCTCACAATTCCTATAATCGAATAAAGTTTTTTTCCACAAGACAGAAATTGGACTAGACTTATAATTGAATATAAAGGAAACTGAGCTAGATCCAGAATTGAGTCACGCAATGAAATCAGTATGGTTCATTCAATTTCCACAATTCCCCCATATTTTCTTTAGTATTTTTTGCCTCTTTTATTGAGTTGTTAATTCTCTTTTCATAATTTTCTTGCATCACTCTCATTTTTTCCTCCAATTTCTCCTCTGTTGCTAATCTCTTTCTTAAGCTTTTCCAGGAATTTTTGTTGGGCTTGGGTTCAATTAGCATTTTTCTTTGAGGCTTTTTTGGTAGCTGTTTTCACATGGTTGTCTTCTTATGAGTTTATATCTTGGTCTTCCCTGCCACCGTAGTAGATTTTTGTGGTCAAATTCTTTGTTATTTGCTCATTTTCCCAACTTATTTCTTGACTTTGAGCTTTGTGTTAAAGTTGGGCTCTGGTCACCAGGGGTTGCTTCCCCCAAGCTTCAGACTTTTTCATGCTTCTGTTTTCAGAGCTAAGTCTTAGGGTCTGCAAGTTTTTGTCGCTTCCAAGGTGGTGTTATCCTGGAAGAGGTGTGGTCACTGCTTTTCTAGTCTGCCCTCTGCTCTTTACCCAGGAAGGGCTCCTGTTCCCCTGCATCTATAAGCACCAGCACTCCTCTTGACCCTGGATCTGTGACTAGGTTCCCTGTTTTCCTGAAGCCACAAGTGCTAGTGTTCCTCTCCACCTTGGAACTGTGACCAGATTTCCTGCCTCTTTGTGACTGATCGTAGACACTCCTCTCCTATGGAACTTGGATCTAGAACTGCTTGTGGGCAAAAGAATTGCCAATCAGCACCAGTGCTGCCAAAGGGTACCCTGTAGTCTCTTTCTGACCAGGTGTCCAACCCCTTTACTGTTCAGAAGCTGCTGCTGGGCACATCAACCTCCAGGGCCCACTGCTGCTTACTGCCATGTGTGCTGCTGGTAGGCTCCCACCTTTGTGTCTCCTGACAACTCCTGAGTGGTCCTAGACTGGGAAAATGTCACACTCTGACCTTTTGTTGGCTTTGCCACTTCAAAATTTTATTTGAGGAGTTATTTAAAGTTATTTGGAAGGGAATGTTGGGAGAATTCAACTGCATTGCTGCCTGTACTCCACCATCTTGGCTCCTGACCCCAAATTAATGTTTAATTGATAGAAATTCAAATCCCACAGAAGTGATTTTGGGACTTGGGGACCTTCCACTGAACCAGCCATGAGAAGGTGATAGCAAAGAAGTTTGTGGTGCCACACTCGCCTATAGTAGGCCAGCAAGGCCTGAAGAGAGGAGAATATATCACAAATTACCCTCAATTCTCCCACACTGTCTTGAACTTTTCTCCTGCTGGAGGGAATCATCATTACTTTACTCCTTGATTCCGCCAGACCCTCCCTAGGTGCTTTCTCTGCAGCAGAAAAGATTATCCATAAACGTCCTATATAAATCCTCAGTTTTTTGGCTCTCAGTGAAGAGAAGTCAGTTCCTAATGAAGAAGGGTAATAGCTACTAAACCTTAAATTAAGCATAACTCAATGTCCTAGCTCTCAGCGCTTGGGGTAGGGGGCTGTTGGACCAGGATTCTATGGACAGCTTCTGCAGAGAAAATGACCAAGTTCTGCTATCTGGGATTTTCAGAGGGTTCTCAGAACAGCTTCCTTCTCTGCTCAATCCCACTACTTCCTTCTTCCTCACCATTCACAAATTGATCTCCAAAATCAAGTCAATTTCAGATTATAGTCATCTTTAGTAGCCGACCCTTATTAGAGATATTTGAAGCAAAGATTTTTCTCCCTAATTGACTGTTTCCTTTATTATCCTAGTTACATTGATTTTCTTAGGGCACAAGCTTTTTAATTCATGTAATCAGATTATCTATTTTATCTTTTGTAGTTACCTCAGATCTTTTATGCACCTTCTATGTGTCAGACATTCACTGTGTTAATTAAGTTCTTGAAATACAAAGAAAGGCAAAAACATCCCCTGCTCTCAAGGAGCTCAGTCTAACATGGGAGGCAACATGCAAACAACTATGTACAAAGAAGAATGGTGTGTGTATATAATTTATATGTATACACATAAAATATATAAATATATACATGCATACAGATATATACATATCTGTCTTGTTAACGTGATTGATTAGTAATATGTAATAAAATGTAAAAGAGTGTCAGGTTATAAAGGGCTTTAAAAGCCAAACAGAAGATTTATGTTTGACCCTGGAGATGATAGGGAGTCACTAGAGTTTATTGAATGGAAAGATCTCATAGTCACACCTGCACTTTAGGAGGATCAGTTTGACAGCTGAGTGAGTGAAGGATGGACTAGTAAAATATAGTAGAGATTGAATTCCTACTTGAGATTCCTAGAAGGAATCTTAATAATTTTAGTAAGTAAGACAAAGCTCTAGAGCCAGCTGATTGATATAATTTTCTCTTAGAAGAAATTGCTTTAAAAAAATATACACACATATACTCAGTGATCTGGTGATGCTGGCCTCCTTGCCTGTTCTTTGGAAAAAAAAACTCTCACCATTTTCCAAATGAGCATTTTCACTGGCTGTACCAAATGCCTGGAGTACTCTCTCGCCTCCTCTTAGCCTCTTGGCTTCCTTTAGAGTCCCAGCTAAAATCCCACCATCTACAGGAAGCCTTTCTCTATCTCTGTTAATGCTTATGCCTTCCCTACATTGATTGTTTCAATTTTATCCAGTATATATCTTATTTGTACATGATTATTTTCATGTTTTCTTCCATATTAGACTGAACTCCTTGAGAGCAGGAACTATCTTTTTCCTTTCTTTGTATCTCTGACACTTAGCACAGTGCCTGGCACATAGTAGGAACTTAATAAATGTTTATTGATTGACTGACTCACTGTGTGGTGTCCAACATCTGTGGGTAAGTGATTGTCTAAAAGTAAACCATGCATCTTGAAGACAGGATGAAATGTGAACTTGGCCTTTAACAGATTCTTCATGATAAGCAAGAAGCTAGTTTGAAGGGAATAGTGGGGGTGATACCAGCATTCTCCTCGAAATAGTAATTTTTGTTTCTTTGTCTTTATTTTTTCTTCAGAGTAATCCTAGTGGTCCAGCATGGTATTGGTGGCTCCTGGCTGTGTTGCCATTAGAAAACCGGGCTCAGCTTGCTATACTTGGTATGACATCCCTTAAAGATCGTCTAATTGCCATCAGGCGTGTATTAATATTTGTAACACGTAAAAGACCCAGATGACAAGGGCTAATTTATAACCAGACAGAGGACAAACTGAGATTTTTGTCTCTCTCAAGATTGTTGGAAACCCTTATGCTTTTAAGTGTCAAGCACAGGTGAATAGCCATCCATTTTGGTGTGTGAGACACACTAATTATAGGGTCACAAAATGGACAATTTATTAAACTTTGAACCCTACTCAGAAGTGAAAACACTGTGCCTGCCATCCTGGTGGAACCTGAGCCTCTATAATGTAATTCTGCAATTATATTGGAGTCCATAGATGTGGAAACAATTTTAAAAAAACTCTTCATAGTAAATGCTTCTAGCCTGCAATACACTGTGCTCAAAGCACTGGAACACCACAAGTGGCTTATGTGCAGTTTGAATTTGATAGGGGAAAAGAACTCCCTTGACAGTAAAATCTCTTGCTAAATTAGCTGTATTTGCCAGAGGGAAACTAAATTTTCATGTGGAAGTAGTTTTCCCAGAGCACATTGCTGATACACAATGTTGCCACCCTTTTTTGTGTTTACGAAATATTCTTGTCTGTGAAGTTGAGTAGTTAAGGCATTGTCCAATGAAAGCTATGTAATGTCTACATAAGTGATAGCTACTAAATAGAGCTGTATTTGGTAGCCTGTAGTAGTCCCTAGTGTTGTAATTTGCATGTTGTCATCAAATGAATGTCAAAATACATCTGAAAGAGGTGTACTTTGAAAATAGAAAAACCTAAAAGTAGTGCATCTGGTCGGAAGCTAGCTATTCAGTAAGGAATCAATAAGACCAAGGTAGTTCACTACATTTATAGGGATGTCAAATATACAGCCTATAGGCTGGAGCTGGCCCACTGAACATTTAAAAAATATAAATAACCCTATCTTATTAATTCAATGAATGATGTGTGTTTTGTGAAATATTAGTCTAGCCCACCATTATTTTCATAAGCAGAAAGTAAGCCCATCAACAGATTTGAGTTTGACACCCCTCCACTACTACATGAAGATGTTAAAGGCTGCTACGAAATAGTTTTCTGTTTCAATTCGGATCCACGGAAAGTTTATGATTGTGTGTGATTGGTGTGGGTGCGTAAGCATTCCGCAAGTTTCCCTATAACACCAGCTTAAAAATCTTAACCCTTGTTTTTAGAAGCAGATAGCCTACAATGATCAGAACAGGTATTATCTATTAAAGAAGTATGCCTGTATGTGCCAACCTAATACGTATTATGTTTGGAACAGTGTTGGTTAAAAGAACTATTTTAACCTGTACTGGTTACTGTTCTTTTTTACATATCAGTTGGTGCATGTGGACAGATTCTTGGTCCATGATATTGATGTTCTCAATATGAAAGAAGGCATGGACTTGATGTAAATGAAAGGCAAATCTCACTTCAAGTTTTGTTATCCTCATTCAATGTATATGGTATTTGGTTTTTTAAAATATATTTCATAATACCAAATGTTTCTGGTTTGTCAGTCCGTTAATCAGATAATTAGGAATTTAGTAAATTGACAGTATTATTTTAGTTCAAGTTGTATGGGTCTCCAATACATAAAACTACTTATAACAGCAGAAGGTTGGGGGTGGGGTAAATTTGATCTTTCCAAGAGACATGGAGGGTTCCTGTGCCATGTTATACTCTTAAGAAAAGGAATTTTGAAAATATTTCATGATCAAATGTTTAAAGTGCCTCACTTGCTTATTTTGAATTTCTTATCTCAGTAGAGATGTAGTTTAAAATCAGTTTGCCCAAATCAGTTCTAAAATATTGCATCAATAAAAACATTTAACAACTTTAACAGTATTCAACTTTTTGGGGCATTGAAGTCTTTGGTCTTCTGACAAAAAACTAAAAAAAAAAAACAAAAAAAACAAGTGTGTGATGTTCCAGAAAGCTTTAATTGTAAGTGGTTCATAAAAATTGATAATATGCACTGAATATTCTGTATCTTTTTCCTTGTGGAAAATATTTTCTATCTTAACTCCATATACTTGTGAATGTTATTAAAATTTTTAGGCATATAATTTATCACCAGTGGTATAACAACTGCGGTAGCTTTTCTGAAAATTAAGTTTCCATGGTCAGAGTAATAAAAGGGTTACCTGTATCAGTGCTCTTTCCAACAACTTTAGAAACTGTCAGAGTGTCCTCTGCACTGTTGAAATGTAGCTCACAATTCTCAGAGAAAGACTTTTATAGGTGAATTAGTATTATTGTTGTTGTTTTTTCTTTTCTTTCTTCCTTTCATTTATTTCTGTTTGAGTCTTGCCAAATAGATTAATTTGTCTTCCTTCCCTTCTTGAAAAGTTAGTACATGCTATACAACAATGCTGCTGCACATCAGAGCAACGCACGTATTTTTGCTACCAAAGGAAATAGGTAAAGATCTTAGGACCCTCTTGAAAGTTCATAATTTTAGTGCTATTGGAAAATACCAAGTCTAATATTCAGCAGCACCTGAGTACTTGAAGTACACCTGGATGACAGATCACTTAACTTACCAGAAAGCCAGGTTTATATTTGCCACCATAATTCTTTGAAGGAAACCTTCAAGTTAAGAATGAATGGAAAAAAACCAAAACACTCAAACTTCAATTCATTGAAATTCTGTCCAAAACTTGGGAGCATTAAAAGTAGTTTGGGAAAATCTCAGAATTAACAGCCAATCAAATCTTTTTTATTAACTAAGATTAGAGACCCAACAATTTTTAAGGACTCCTTGAAAATTAATATAACTTGTTATTCAAAGCCAGGGCCTTTTAATTTCATTTTGAAAGGAGTGTTCTTGAACAGTATCGTTTTAGTCATATCAGCTTAACAACTTCTGCTTTTTCTTTCTTTTTAATGAGTATTTTTAACTTGTACTAAATCTAATAACAGTAATATCAATTCTTAGGGTAATTTTTGTTCCCTGAGTACAGCTAAGCTCTCTGTTATTTAACATCCTTTAAACTGGAACTGACAGTATGGTAATAGCAGAAGATCACCGCATGTGGAATCAGGAAGGAGCAGGGTCAGATCCTACCTGCATCAGTCCTTGTGTCGTTTCCTTTCTGTGCCTCAGGTTCTTCATCAGGTTGATGACTACTAAAACTCCTTCCAGTTCTCCCGATGTTCTCTCCCTAGCCAGATGAGCCTGTTTATATCTAAGGTTGCAAAAATACAAGATAAAAATGGGCACTAGCTGCAGTATTGTGAAAGTTCACAAGATGAGGACGTTTCTACATCAAAGTAGAAACACTTTTGCTTCAAAATGAGATACCCACAATTTTCTTTCCCAGAGCAGAAGTTAGATTTTTTGGCAGTTGTAAATAATGAAAAGATGGAATGTTGAGACCTGTGTCAGCAGCCCCAAGGTAAGATTCTTTTACTGTATAAAAAATGGGCCAATGTTTACCCATTTTTAGGATTGATAAGTACTAGAAGCAGTTTGTTTTGTAGTAAATAACCCTTCATGAACAGGAGATTAAATATATGTGAAAGGTATCAATTTTGAGAAGTTCTTGTAAAGAATATCTGAATCAAATTTTGGTGTTATTTTATTATATTAGAAGTCATTGGAATTTAGTAATATATGCATCGTACTACCATAGTAGTGGCTATTAGTCAGAATACACTGTTCTTTAAAATTGCCAGATAACAGAGAGTTTACTGTAATATTTTAAATTTTCCCTATTGAAGTAGTTCTGTGTTTTTAACTCCTCTAATCTTTTTTCTGTTGTCTTTTCTAATCACTCAAGCTAGAGTAATTTCTACCAATTCAACATTTATAGCCAAAAGTTGTATACTTTATTCATCAAATAAAGTTATAACCTAAACAAATTTGAATAGTAACTTTCCAGAAAGAGGAATTGTGACTGGAAATAATAAAAAAGAAAAGGCAATCCAGGAAGTTTGAAACAGAAAATTACGGGTAATATCTATTTCTACAGCACTCATGGCATTGTTTTTCCTAGATGGGAGTCTCTTCTCCCATAAAACAGCACAGGAATCACAGATTGTCAGTGGCAACTGGTGATTCTCTGGGCATTCTCTTCCCAGCATCATTTCCCACTAAATGGCATAACAGTATTTTGGATAAGTTCTTTTCCTGTTGCCTATTAAAACCTAAATCAGAAACACAGTCATGAGTAGGTAAAGTGGGAGCATTTCTTATATTGAGCCATCCATACAGGTAGAAAACACTGAACCCTGAAATGTTACTGATTCTCACCCCCTTTTCTCATTGGTGCTAAATATTTAATCCTAAGCAGTTTGCATCTAAACTTCTAGGAAAGGACCAACTGAAGTACTCGGAAAAAGTTTAAATGCAAAGAAATGTTGACCCAAGTCTGACCAACCCATAGAATAGCCTTTCAGTAACAGTTCTGCCTTTAGTATATTCTGCATTTTATAAAATATTATTTTGGCATGAGATAGTCACATAAAAGTGCCACAGCTCCACTCTGGCAAAGTTGGGGATCATAATTCATGCTAAGATATGTGTATCTGGATTCAGCTCATGGAAGACATCTACCCTTGGCAAGTAAGTAAAAGTGTGGTATGGAGGTAGGCCTTGTGACTGCAACCACCCCAACTATGTAATTTGTGTATGGCATCTCAATGAAGAAGCCACTTGTCTCCACCATGAAGTAGAAGAAAAGCCTTTGATTGCATGAAGGGTTAAATATTAGAGGTGTGCACTCAAGGTCAGAGAGTATGGAAACTTCTAGGTAAGGGAATTTGGACCAAGATTCTGCCCTGAATATGTTGCCCAATTAATGAGACTGGATTGGCAAATATAAGCCTTTAGAAAGAAAAAATGAAAATCAGTTTTTAACATGAATAGACTCTTTAACTTTTTGCTTTTCAGGGACCATTTTTTAAAATGCCATTTGGGGCCTTTGCCATCTATCATAACAACATAGTTTGTCAAGCTTTGTACTACTAACAGTCTGATCAGTTACAGACTTTCATACCTCTCCCTGCATACCCCCACACAGTTTTCACACTGAAATACATGGAAAAACTGTTCTTGCTAAGATGGAAAGTTGTATACTGTATTCATGTGTAGCTTTCATGCTAGTGGAGTTGGTATTGGTAGCGCCTTAATTTTGCAGTTGTGAAATGATTGTACCAATTAAGAATCTGATCTGTATTTTTTATATAATTAAATGAGCAGGTTTGAACAAGTAAGTTTTAACATAGATAAACTTGAAATGAAATCATGCTCTTACCTGTTTAAAGATAGACAATGTGTTCTTACATCTGTGTAATATAAATTATTAATCTGCGCCTTCTCTTTTATATTAAGTATAAGACAGGTCCATGTTGTCATAACAGTGTTTGGCATTCTTGTTGCATAAGTAAAGCCAAACTGAAATGCTGCAATATTCACTTCATGTATATTTGTAATATTCATTGCAAATGTGTATTTAATTTATGTGATGTTTGGAATAAATAAATCAAATTCTCATTGTTGCATATCTGCTGTAATAAAACCTCTCGTGAATTAGAAGATAGTGACTTGGAAGTGAGATCCCATTTACTATCTTTTCCTTACCCTCTTCCCATGTACTGATTATTCTTCACTGATGTTTTTTGTAGCCTATTTTCAGGCCCAAAATGAGGATGATAGATCTAGGGGTGGTCCAGATTCTAGAAGCATATGGTCCAGCCATCTCATTTTACCCTTAACATAACTGGGACTGAAAGAGGTCGACTTGTGCAAGGCCACATAGGGATCAAGTATCTGAGCCAGGGCTTGTTTGACTGTTACAGTGTCAAGGCCAGTTTAGATAATTTCTCCTTTTAGGAGAATGTCTTGAAACAGTTTTCCTTTCTTTTGACTCACCCGTCCTCCATCTGGGCAGGATCTTGGGCAGCCCACAAACCATCCTTTGATTTTTTTTTCAAGCTCAGTTACTAATGCAACTGCTAGAAAGGGCTTTTAGGACCTCAGGACCTCCTGCTGCACGTTGTCCTTGGAGAACTCCTAGTTTTTGCTTACCTAGGCAGGAGGGATATAACACTTCTCTTTGCCTAAGACATATTTAAATAGAAAATGAAATATCAGGCCACCAATCACCCTCAAAAATTGAACCTATTGAAACCACACAATATGGAAGACTTCCTGTTTTGGTGATTTCACTGTGTTTCTACAGTAAGCAATATGAATGTAAAATAATCCACTGAAGAATTAGTTTATTCATATTGTGTTTATAAAAGTAACTAACCCTAATTCATACCTTGTGGGAGGAAGTGTATTGTAGTGAAGCGAGAACTGGTTTTAAAGGTAGGAGGACCTGGGTTTGAATCCTGCCTCAGATGTGTACTGGCTCTGTGACTCAGACAAGAGCACTCTGAGTACTCTGGGCCAGGAGTATCAAACTCAGAGCACCCTTATTCTGCAAAACTCCCCATGGTCATAAACCAGATTAAAGTGTAATTGGGAAATGTCTGACCAAATAAATAAAAATACAATACAACATCAATAATGTTAACCTGTAGTTTTCTAAATCAGCCTGCAGGGATCCATTTCTCTTTGAGTTTGATACCTCTGCTGTAGGGCTCTCTAACACTTGTAAGTTGCATTGGTAGAGGAGCTATCTCACCTGGGAGTTACCTATGCCAATAAAATCACAGGTCCTGTTTCTGCACCACCAATGCCGATCAGATGTGTTATCTCCTGCATCCATAGGGCGGTGGTTGTATGTGGGAAGGGACAGCTCAAACCCTGCCTCACCTTCCGTATCATGCAAACTTGCTGTTCGTTAAATGTCCAAATGCATGGATTAATTTCTCTCAATTATTTTTGTAAGTTCCTGATTTTAGTCTCATGCAGAATTCATTGTCCAATATTTCCCATTTGATTTCAACAAATAGTTCTAGTTTACCTGCATCATCATGTTCTTCACTTTGAAACAAAAAAAAAAGCAGAGAAAACAACTCTTTGCCTTAGAGAGCTTTTAATCTTTTATTGAGAAAACAATTTCCAATAATGAAACAATTAGAAAACATTCATGATAGTGTTCATGAAATGCTGAATCACATACATTAAGATGGGACCAAACTCAGAGAAGCCAATGGGAATTCATCATAACTGAGTTCACACAGCTTTACTCACTGAACCTGGCAACCGTCTTGAGTTGGATACCACTCGTCCCTCTCTAGAAAGGAGAAAGAAATATGGGCGAGAGGAAGTTTGAGTGAAGGAACTCAGTGTTTGAGCTGGACTGTGAAGGATGGGCAAGATTTGAAGAAACCAAAAGGATAGGGAAGGCATTTTAAGGGGAAAGGAGTAGCTGTTGACAGAAGCAGAGAGACAGAAATGAAAAGTAGGGAATACGCATTTTTAAGTGTCTGCTGTATGCTAGGCACTGTGCTAAGCATTACAATGTTATCTCGTTTGATTCTCACAATGACCCTGTGGAAATGAGTGCAATTATTATCCCCATTTTTTGAAACTGAGACAGAGGTTAGGTGACTTGCCCAGAGTCATACAGCTAGTATGAGGCTGGATTAGAACTCATATTTTCCTGACTCTTGGCCCAGTGCTCTATCCATTGCATCGCCTAGGTGCCATGTTTGTTGGGGGTCCCTGGAGGTACAACAGAAAGGAAACCAAACTGGAGCTAAGGCTTTGAGTTGAGCAGAAGTGGGGGAATAAGATTGGATAGGTCCAGTCTTGTGGTGACAAATCATGGAGGAGCAGGTTAGCTCAGTCTGTTCCATGTGAATAATTTCTATGGGAATCAAATCAATGAACTGAATGCATACTTCTAGTCATAGAGGAATATTGGAAGACACTAGGTTACATTTGGCCCAAAAAAGAGCAGACAATGGATGTGATAATTGTTATCTGATGTTTGAAAAGTTATAATGTGCAAGAAGTTGAGTGATAATGTTGCATAGCCCTAGAGTATAAAACTGATGGACAATGAGCTGAAATTATAGAAAGCGTATTTCAGATGAACATAAAGCTGAACTTGCCTCATAAGGTAATGAATGAGCTTGCCATCACTGAAAGTACTTCAAACGAAATATCTCTTAAGAATGTTGTCAAGGGGATTTCTCCATTGGGAAGAAGGTAGAACTAGAGGATATAAAATCCCTTATAACCCTTTAGTAGTAATTCTATACATTCTCCTCTTACTCTTAAATTCCATTTCAAACAACTCTTTGGTGACTCTCATGTCTTGAATTTCAACTTGATTTTTTATAGGTTAGAGGCTTCAATTTGAAACTACATATATACCAAGATTATTTTTAAAAAAATATTTTCCCTCAACATTTTTTTCTTGGTGCAATTTATTTTATTTTACATTTCTTAAAAGTTGTATTTGTTTCCTTTTGTTTTAATGATGTCATGGTCATTAAGACATTTCTTTTAAAACTGAATTCTTAGAGATCAAATGTGCCTATTGTCCACACTCATTATATCTCAAGTGTTTAGAAAATGTCATTGAGTGGGGTATCATGTGACATAAGGCTGCTGAAGCTGCTCAGATCGGTCTTAGCCAGAGTGTCTGTATGACAGTGCTACTATGGCCTTTGATACTGTAAATAGTATTAAAGACAATTGGAAGATTTTGAAGCTTGATTTAAGGATCCAGTGAAGTTGCATGCCATGCTTTTTGTAGAGGAAAGTAGAGAGGGAATCCCTCAGATACATTTGTTTGATCCTGGACATTGAAATGTGGTAGTGTGTGATGAATGCAATTGTAAGAAATTAAATCTATAGAGGTCATACTCATAAAATTATCGAGCTATAAATTAAGGAGGCAACCTGCTTCACCACCTTTTTTGTTTGATAAGACAAAATTTCAACTTAACAAACTCAGAGTCAAATAGATATCTATAACAGGAGCTTCAAAAAAGTTTTCTACCGGTAGATGCTCCATTTTAAAACTTTCTCCTCATTTGGGTGGCAAATGCCCACCCAACTCCTAGACAGTGCCACAGCAGTACACATAGCTGAGTTCTTGTTAAAAGAAATATAGCATTTTTCCCAAAAAATTATTAATATGGTAATGTTCTATGTGATGATTGCATATGTATAACCTATATTGGATTGCTTACTGTTTTGGGGCAAGGGTGGGGAGGGAGAAAGGAGAGAACATAAAACTCAAAAATTTTTTTAAATATTAAAAGTTGTTTTTAATTGGAGAAAAAAAATTAAGCAAATAAAAAAAGAAACATGGCAAGGTTAGGTTTCTTTTATTAGTACTTTTATGAAGAACCACCCCAAAGTAAAAATGTAGAGAAATGATACCAGGATCAAGCAAAGAATGCCATTTTGGTTCAGTTTACCAATGTTTGGTGCTAAAATTAGCATCCTCTAAACATCAAACCTAGAGTTACCAATAGACCACAGGCCCTGCCTGTTATTACCTTGGGCAAAAAACATCTCCTCCTTGGAGTTTCACTTTGATCAGCTATAAAATGGTGGTAATAATACTTGAAACTGTTAACCACTGAGGGGATAGTATTGTGAGAATCAGATGACAATATACAGGGAAGCACTTTGTGACCATAAAGTACTTTATAAATGTAAACTGATTTCAGAGGTAGTATTTTAAAATGGAAAGAGTAATGGTCTATGAGTAGGGAAACCTGGATTTTAGTGTTGACTGCTAATACTTACCTTGTAAACCATGAGCAATCTTCTCTAAGACTCAGTTTCTTCATCTGCAAAATGAGGTTTTAATATTTGTACTTTGCCTAAAAAGGTTTATTGTGAGAGAATGTTTTTAAACTAATAAAAATACATGAATATGAACTATTATTGATGGAAAAATTAATTTATAAAATTTGCAGTAGGAAAATCCTATTATACAATAATTTTAAAATGTGTGTGTCTAATTCCTACTTGTATGTCCACATGTTCAATATTGGGAAATAATTACATGCAACATTTCATGTAAAGTAAATGGTAGAGGGAAAATACACACACAAACACATTCTCAAATAAAACTTGGGAGGAAATCCCCAAAGAATTGATTAACTGCATTATTTCTTGGCCTAGTCAGGACCAAATCAGGTGACTCAATGGATAAAACACTAGGCCTAAAATCAGGAAGACTTCAGTTCAAATCCAGCCTTAGATATTTACTAGCTGTGTGGACCCTTGGCAAGTCACCTAACCTCTGTCTGCCTCAGTTATCCTATCTGTAAAATGAGAATAATAATTGTACCACCCTCTTAGGGTTGTCATGAGGGGGCAAATGAGGTACTTGTAAGGCACTTTTGCAAATCTTACTACTCTATATACATGCTAGCTGGTAGTAGTAGTAATAGCAGTAGTAGTTTTTCAGTTTTTCAAAAGGCTTTGTTATGTTCCCTTAAGTCTTTTGCTTTTACAGATAGTATTTTGAGATTAACATACCATTTCTATATTTAAAAGAAATGGAAGAGCAAATAAGATACCTGTGTGGTACAATAAACGGAGTTCTAAATTCTGAGTCTGGGTTAAAATCTCAACC